GGGGCAGGAGTGTGCCCTGGACAGGCTGGCTTAGGGGCAGCTGGGGGGGTGAGGGGGGGCAGCACCACCATGGAGGGGGGGGCACCCTGGGCTGTTGTCCCTTCAGGAGCTCTTGGTCACTGATAGTGTCACGGTGGGGTTGGGAGATGGGATTTGTCCCAGCAGGGACGGGTCCCTACAGCGTCATGGAGGGGGGGGATGTGGTCCCGGGGGGGGGGTTCAGTCCCAGGGGTGTCATGGATGGGGTCCCTGGCCCATGAGGGGCAGGCACGGTGATCCCGGTGCTTCCAGCCGGTGCGGCGTGGGATGGGATGCAGCAGAGATGGCCCCGCTCCGGCCGATTAAACGAACAGATTAAATGTAATTTTATTTCACACCCCAAAAAAAAATGTAGAAAAGAAGAGGTGAGTGGAGATTTAATTGCTCATATTAAAAATCTACCAGGTGAGATGGAGCCGTTTCCACCAGAGTCAGTGCAGATCCGCAGGGATGTTTATTCCTCCTTCTCCGCAGCTGGATGCTGGGACGAGGATGGGGACAGGGGCAGCACCTGCCCCTTTCCCCCCTCCCCAAGGTGCCCCCTGTGCCGTGGACGCTCGCTGCTGTCGGCCCCATTGGCACATCCTTGCCCGGGTCTATCCTGCCTAGCCCCAGCACCCCTGGTGCAGTGTCCCCATGGTGCCACCTGCACCTTGTGTCCAGTAAATGGGTGCTGATTTTGGTGGTGGTGGGGGGTGTGGAGGTGGGAAGGGGTCAGGAGCGCATGGAGGGGTGGCCTTGGGCCGTTTTGATTTTTTTTTTTTTTTTTTTTTTGTTTTTCGGTGTATTTCTTATTGTCCCTTTTCCTTCTGTACAAAATGAGCAGTATGGTCATGGGCGTAGGTGACACGGTGACGTGTGCGGGGTCGGGGCTGGCTCCGGCGGCTGCCCCGCGCTCACTGCAGCAGGGCCCGGATCTGTTTGGACGTGGTGTCGTCATTGAGGTGCCGAGTGGTGTACCTGGACGGGGAGGGGACGGTCACCCCGCCGTGCCCCGACCCGCTCTGCCATCATCCCACGGCCCCATCGGGGGATGCCGTATCCCCCTCCACCATGTGCCCCAGCCCCTTGGCTCACCTCAGAGCATTCAGGAGCCCCTCAGTGCTGGTTGAGGGTTGGTCTTTCAAGACTTTGATGCAGCCTTTCATCTGGTGGGGGGAGAGAGAAAGGGAGTGAGCAGCCGGATGCGCCACGGCGGGGCTTTCCCCCTTCCTCCCCATCCTCCTCCTCGCTGCTTGGGTAGCGGGACAAGTTCCCCTCTGGACCAACTGAGAGATGTCTCCACAGGGAACATCCAGGGATAGGGACCCCCAGGCATCACAGCTACACTGGGATGAGCAGGATGGCCGTAACCCCCCTCCACCGCACCCCCTCAGCCACTCACGTCAATCTTGGAGGTCTTCGCGAAGGCCCCCACGGGGTGGACGTGGTCGTAGAGGATGATGACGCCGACCATCACCCGCATGCAGAAGAGGAGGGTCTCGGTGTTGGTGAAGCGGCTTCGGTACTCCCTGCACCGGGAGAGGGGCCAGCTGAGCCCGGGGGGGGTGACAGAGGGACCCTGGCACTGAGATGTCCCCCCTCCACCCTGTGCGAGGTACTCACGGGGTCTCCAGCATCACCCTGCAGACACACGCCATGGTGCTCAGGCAGTCGGTTGTGTCCTCAATCGGAAGGGTCTTGTTCTGAAACCCAGCAGGTCCCGGCTGCCGTTTCCCCTCCTGACCCCTGCACGGTGCCGGGGCTGGAGGGGGGCTTCCCCCCACCCTGAGGGTCCCCCCCCACCGGCCTCTCTCACCTCCGAAACAAATTTGGTGGTGGCATTGCTGAGTGTTTTGAGCATGGGGGTGGCCTCGGCGTAGAAGAGGGACATCCTGTTGGCCATCTCGTTGTTCACCTCGCTCTCCGCGTCCAGCTGCAGGGGAGGAAGATGATGGGGGCCATTGGGGTGGCTGACCCCCACCCCAAGCCATCCCCAGTCCTGTGACCCCCCTTGGGGGAGGCCACCTCTGGGTAGGGGTGCAGGGAACGGCGTTGTCCTCTCACCTGCAGGTTGTTAATGCGATTTCGGCTGATGGTCCTTCTGTAGTAGCTGAAGTCGTTCTGGATGGCGGGGTTGGTCATCTGCCGAGCGGAGACCGGTGTCAGGGGCTGGGGTGGGGGCCACGGCCGGCTCGGTGTGCTCGGGGCGAACTTCGAGGGTCCCAAGGGACTGCGCTGGCTCATGGTCCCAGTGTGGGCACCCTGCAGGCCCCCCCCCCCAGCCCTCATCCCACACAAGGGTCCACGGGGAGGTACCTTGAGCTCATCGAAGCTGAGGGTGAAGTGGAGGATCTCGGCAAACTGCTTGGCCAAGGCTTGCTCCCGCTCGAGGTGCTGGGTCGGAGCGTATGGGGGGCTGGTGAGGGCCTCCAGCAGGCTCCGCAGGGCGTTCTCTGGGGACGAAGCACCGCTGGTCCCCCTCCTGCTCCTGTGCACCTCCCCAGCCCCGGCTGGGGAAACTGAGGCACGGGGCAGCGCAGCATCCACACCTGAGCACACCCCATGACCAGGGCTCCCCCCCAAACCTGCCCCGTTCCTGCATCAGGGGAAGGATGCGAGATGCAACGGGGGAATATAAGGAAGGGGGAAACGGGGATTCGGGGTGCTCACCCAGCCGCAGGGAAAACTCATAGAAGCGCTTCAGCTTGGCGACGAGGGGGCAGACTGCGCTCCAGGCCCTCTCCTGCAGCCGCAGGTCCCCGGGATTTTGGATGGCCTGGGGTGGGGGAAAGAGCATCAGTGGTTGCCCCAAGCCACGGTGGGTGGTCAGCGGGCGCTGGGGGTTGCCCCCACCTCTCGGATCTCCTGCCCGGCACCCGTGTACGACTGCAGCTCGGCCAGGATTGCCTGCGCCTCTTCCAGCACGGCGTTCACCTGGTTCCACACCGCCGTCTCGGCCTCCGTCGGCTGCGCATCTGCAGGGCAGCACCCCGGGGGGGGGGGGGGAGAGAAACCCGGAGGGCTCTGAGCGGGGCTCTGGGCGGCAAGAGCCGGAGTGGGGTGCCAGCACCCCGTCCCGCGGCTCTCCCGCCAGCCCGCAGCCCTTCCTGGCGGGTTTCTCCCCCTGGTCCGTCTCCTTGCCCGAGCTTGAGCCAAGCCACGGGGTTGGGGGGGGGGGGGGGGGGGGGGGGGGGGCCTGGGGGC